AATCTTGCAACAACACTTCGCACTTTGAAGGTGCAAATGATATACCATAACGAGTAACCTCAATTGCCAAACGGTTCAATGACTCTTGAATCGTTGGTGCGTCGTAGACTACAGTGGTTGAGACATGTGTTGCGCATGTTACCAAACAGCTTGCCACAGCATGCGATATTTGCTGGGGCAAGTTTTTGGTGGAAAACGGCAAAGGATGGTATAACTAAGATGAGGGTGTGAAAACCGTAACCGGAAGACTCGGCCACATAGGTCATAACAGGCTCCCTGGATGATGACCTCGAGATGATCGTAACCGGTGGTTAGAAACACTGAATGATATGGCTGAGTGTCGTGAACAGTGGCGTTCGTGCATCTTCTCAATTTCCTTGCAACCTTAGTCTACTGAAGTTCTCCATTTCCTCTTGGACTCTACTGTCATCTTTTGTATCTTTCTCCTACTGCTTCAACCAGAACCGGCGCACAAAAGTGCATGGTTAATGGTTGTCCAAAATTGAAAGGGAAAATTGGAGCCAACTATTCGCACCGTTTCATGAACTTGGGCGACAGTATCCCGTCAATCCATCTGCAGTGCACCGGTGAAAAGATCAAATCATCCCTGGTGACCGAGAAACGTGTTTCACACACAGAGAACGAGCACGCGCGTGAGCGGTCACAGACAACCACACAGGATACTTTTATTCGTGTGTCCGGGGTTAAAACCCGTAATCACCGAACAACTTACCTGATAGCCCAATTTGAAAGCCTGTCCCAATGTCATGATCACATCTTGGGCCAGACCACCCAAACCTTCGAACACGTAGCACATACGTTGCCCCTGTTCGTTTTTGGCCACATAACAAACAAAATCCAAGGTTTCAGCATCCCCACCCGAGGCAAACGAGACCATGGATAAGTTGTGCCGAAAAATGCGCTAATCCACACGTGATCGGGCGACCAAGCACGAGTGCAGAGGATGAGTGACACGAGGGAGCGACGAAGGGGGGATGGGGGTGAGAGGAACGAGAACAAGAGATCAGATCAGAGTGAGGTGATTTTGGGACCGTGAAAATACAGACCTAAGCGGCAATCAATGTACTAAAATCGTACTCGGATGGATTATGGTGTATGATCAAGCATGCGCACGCATGCAAAGAAAAACAACAATTCATCAAATACCAAAACAGTTCAACAACTGTGAGACAGAGAGAGAGAGAGAGAGATTTACACCCACAGGAAAAAGAAATATATATATATATCTCAGAGAAAATTTACACACTATTCGGCGGTGAGCACACGAAAGAGTTACGGTTTAATCTGGGCGAACTAATGCGAGTTCTGGAGCGGGAGTATCACTTTGATGAAAGGGAAACTGGTGATGGGAAAATCGTCTGCTTCTGTTGAAGGAACACTGGCAGAATTGAGCCCACAAACACATCACGAATTGTTTTCCTTGTTTCAAGCGATCATTGCATGATGAATTATTTGTCACAGTCTGGATCTAGACAGGTGTAGGACATTATTATGATATTATGACCAATAAAAATAATAGTGGTAGGCTGGAGAAGTTCAGTACAGTTGTGTTCTCACTCACCAACTCAACGAGCAACATAGGGAGTGGTTCACTGCTCGTTAAATATTGTATCGTAATAAGCAAGGTCACGCAGTAAGTGCTTTCATCTTGATTAAATCATCCGAGATAAAGTCGACGTCCGAACTCCGAGTTAAGTTTCGGGGCTTGAACCTCGACACAACAACATATTTTCGTGATGGACAGTACAGTGCTGTCTAGTTTAAATACCACCCCTATCCTATTAGGACTACATGTGGTCTTTTACTTCAAGTACCACGGCTTAGATAGCTGTGAAGTTGAATCTGTTCATCGCACAACGATGGGTGCGCAAACGATGCAGTTTGCTAATCNNNCGGAACGAAAGCAGGCAAGAAACTCGGATTCGGCTATCGTGAAGCGTTTCTTAAAAATGGATCATCAAATTGATCTGATCCGGTAATGCAAAATGTGATCCTGCAACCGGTCCGCAAGGTCACCGGGGTTTGGTGAAGTCATGCTGATCAAATCGGACCCTCGCTCCCCTCCCCTCCCCCCCCCCACACACACACACATATGTGCATTTCCCTCGCTGCATTCGCGAAAACCATCAACAAGAAATATCTGCTTTCTTTGTTACTAGTCAGACCCTTTCCCTATTCGTGCTTACTGCAATTAACGCATCACCACATCGAAACTGATGTGTTTCACGTTAGTGATCAACAAGATTGAACGAAATTCACACATCTCTGTTTTCCCCGGAGTTCTTGTTAAACACACGGGGAAGCGACGTGGCCTCGGAGATCCAATCGCGATTCAGTAACAAGGAATTGTTGACAAACCTCCGGTCAGATATGACGGGGTGCATTATTATTATTATTATTATTCGGCAAAATAATCATGTTTCCCGGAAAACGTTTAGAGGAGCAGTTTGAAAAACGAAAACACTTTATTGTATGGTTGTTGTCACAAAGTGGACACATTGTTCAGTCAACACGGCAGCCCAAATCACGAGGGGAAACGGCGACCGGAATGTCGCGGACGGTGGAATAAATTACTTCGCCAGGTTTTTCCCGCAAATCAAGCGAATAGTCGCCTATCACAGATCATCAAGAGTAACCGGAATAGAGCCAATGGGGTGAGTGACAACCATGCGGGAAATTGTTTTTCTTTACTCCGCAAAACTTGCATAAGTCAAGCATGCTGACGAATCAATCTGTGTTTGTTTGCGTGTGGCATCATCTTGGCACAACTGTTGCCCAAGCAACACAGACGTGATAAATCGATAACATAGTTTGTACCACGTCTGACGCGATACAGGGAAATGGAATGGATGACTAAGCCCTGTGTAGCTGGGGTATAACCCGTACACGCTACACGTGCATGCACGTACAACCCCCGTCAGATGAGAACGCGTGGAGAAAAAAACAATTTGCATGAGCTTATCACTAGCATAAATTGATTGATTAGGTTCATATCAGAACTCTAGGTGACATATCGAAACCGCGATAGATGAACTGAAAACGCCTATGGTATCGACACTATCCTCATCCCATCCGCCTTAGGTGCCACCTAGCGATTTGCATGAGACGAAGTCTGGGCGTATGCCAATTCAGTCATGGATATGGGGCTCAATCAACAGGCTCTCAACAGTCAGTCAATGAGGTTTTGCAGCACACCACACCAATTGTGATGCACCTAAAAAGTACGAATCGCCACTGGGACCGAATTACAAAAAAAAACAAGGAGATACGCTAACCCTGTTACATTCAACATCAGTCTGGATGCCGGCTGTTGCGCAGACTACCTCAAGCAATCTGGGAAGACGAGACCGAGTGAAAGAACTGCGCGTTGACCCCATTCAGTATTCCAATCCCCGACAAAGCAATATAGAACAGATCTGATAAGCATAGAGAAATGAGCTTGACTGTTACAGCGGTCCAGCGCATAAAAACACTCACAGCAGAGCAAATCGGAACGGTATAAAGGAAAATTAAGCACTGAATTTTCACACAAAGGACGATCGTGTAACACTAGCACTAATGTGTGAGCAGTATTTAACTCAACCAGCAGGGAATCACTTGATATATAAAAGTATTCAACATCCCCCCCCACCTTCGTACCCAGGCAAGCGACCATTTGACTCAAGTGTGCTGAATGCGAGCACGACACAGTGATCGGGCACACCCGTGAAAAGTGGGCCATCGTCTACCAGTGCAGAGAAGCACGTACGGAACGCGAGAGTGTACACATGTGCATATGTGTGCATCAGGTTGGAGAGCAGGCTGTTGAAAAAGATTAACACGTCAATCGGTATTCTGTAAAATACAACCACTTATGCGACCGGGAATTATTGACTACACTGTACACAGTGAAATAGGATTCATCTCTTACCGGAATAGGCACCGAAGTGGTCAATTGATGAAGCATAAAAACAAGCTTTCTATCATAGCATAATATTATTTTACGATATTATTTTTACTGTGCTACCGGATTTCGTTTCTGATGGGGACAAGAAGAATCTATCATGCACATATTCAACACATCGTTGAGCGTGCAACAGTCTGGAATAGCGTGACTAACCCCCAAACATTTCATCCCCAGTACGTACGGGTACACAGCACCGAAAATTTAGATCTAGCATCATTTCTGTTCATTGATGGGCTCAAACGGTACACTGGTAAGCTGCAGCTATTCGAGACAGGACAGTTCGCTATGACCAAGACGATGAACCAAATCAGTCATGTGGTATTCAATAAATTTTAAATTTCGTGAGAATTTTTCTTCATCGATTCTTAAAATCATCAGACTTGTTTACCACATTCGATTAAGGACAGTTCAAAGTGAAATGCAAAAGGTCATTTGATCTGCGTGCGCTTAACGCAGGTCATCCAGACAGTGGTGTTCGAATAACTACACCACATCGACGGTATCCCGGCCACACCACTCCCACCCCCCCTCCCCA